AAGGATTCAGGGGTAATTATTACACATTGGAAAAACAAAAGTGTTGAATGATTATAAATTGTGTCCATGCCAAATGTAAGATGTGTATGTGGAGCATATATTAACATGGAATAGGATATAGGAGTCTGGAATTCCAGAAGCATTTCAAAGCTGAAGGTAGAGATAGTATTTAAAGCAGCAGCAGTAACTAAACCCCTGAGGAATAATGATGGAGAGAGGAGGAAAGGGGCCTGTTGGATGAGGAGGGCAGGAGTAGCAAATAGAAGAAACCAGTGTGGAAGAAAGGAAACCAGGAGGTGCCCAGAAGGAAAGGAAAATGGTTCAAAAATTGGGAGTGTTGGGCCTCCCCTGGTGGCGCACCAGTTGAGCGCTGGGATGCGAAGCTGCCCGCAGCCTCTGCAGCCCTGGTTCGATCCTGGCCCCTGGTGAGGGTCCCACATGGCGCGCAGACCTCTCCTGCCGCCCACTGCTCCCCTCAGCAGTGTACTTCGGTCCCTCTACCTGCTCTGCTCCCCACTCTGGCTCTGGTGAATTCTCTCACCCTCTCGCGCTTCTGACTGTACCCAGTGCATGTATAAATAAATAAATAAATAATCTTTAAAAAAAATTGGGAGTCTTGACACTATTGAAAGCTGTCAATAGGTGAAGTCAAACAAGGCCTATGATTTGGTATCATGGAGGCCATTGGTGCCGTGGACAAGGGCAAGCATGATGAGTAGGAGCAATGGAAGTTCGTGTGGTGTGGGCTGCTGGAAGAGGCACCACTAGGAAGTGGTAACCATGAGCAGAGAATATTCTTTTAAGCAGTTTTGCTGACAAGAGGAGCACATAAAGGGACTGCAAGATGATGATATGGGATAAATGGGGTATTCTTTTTGACTGCAGGAAGATGTAAACCATGCTAGTGTGGTAAGAATGATTCAGGAATGTGGAAGACAGTATGATATAGGAGAAAGAGATAAGTATCTGCAGGATGAGATTCTGAAGGATATAAAGGAAAGGCTTGTATCGATAGATACCAGTGGAAAGCCTGGCCTGTAATGGCAGCTGGGAGTGTTTAAGGCAAGGCTTTTCATATATGTGCAGATATGTGGATGATTTTGGGGTGTGAGAAAGTGAATATTTCTGTTTTCTCATTGATGTATGATTCAAGGCTATTAGATGGGAGTTGAGAAGAGGAGGTATGAAATTGTTCAGAGTATGGGGGAAAAAGAATGTACTAAGTAGTAGAATTGCCTGTATGCCCATTTGCAATTTGTCATCACAAAGTTAAAATAACAGAAGTCATTATATTTGGGAGTCTCTCTCATGCAAATATCAGATGTACCCTTACTCTACTGCCAATGTTTCTTTGCTCTAATCTGTTAGTTCTGCCTGGATGCCAGCTCTTTAGGAAACCTATGTTGCTCTGCCAAGTCTACCTTTGATGCCCTCCTATGATCTCTGCCACTCTTACCATGACCCTTGTGCAATCATCCACTTGCACATCTGTACCTCATTTCAGACTGTAAACTCTTTGAGAACAGAGATTTTTGTTTTGATGTACGTTGCTCTGAATTCTCACCTCAACTTCAAATACAACATTAGCACACAATAGGGTCTAGACATATACTAAACAAATAAAGAAATATGATCCATAAGGCAAATAGCAATTCCTCCAGTTTCCACAGTAGCATCAAGATTAGATGGCTTGACTGCTAATTAATTTTTTTTACCTGTTTATGACCAAACCACTAACAGGCTCCCTAAAACTTAAGAGTTCAGCTTCATCTTGCTGAAGTTCCCAAATTTACTAATTACGATTGTATGCAAGTCAACATAATTTCATTCTTTTTCTTTATAAAAAAGAGGTTTACATTTTAGCTGGTTTCATTTCCTCAACCTTAATCCTGTAAGGATGGTGAATAGGAAAAATTTATTCTGTAGCAACAATGGTTTAAGGAGAAAAATAAGCACCAAATTTGTGTTTTAAGTACAGTGTAACAGAACTACACATCATATTTTGTCTGCCAGGTTATTTTCCTTTTAGGATTAGAAACCAACAAGTTGAAGTAAAAATGTGCTTCATATTTTCACAAACAATTGTAGAAAAAGAAACATACACTCAGTTATATATGTTAAAATGCTTAAGAATATATTGAATAAACTTAATTAAAAGTTAATTTTAGCACAAAAAATAGATTTAACACATAATCAGGGACATGAGCCTCAATAGTATTCACTTCCCCTTTGCTAGAGTGTAGATATTTTTTCTTTGATCATAAGTTATTGTAATGACTTACTACTTAATAGGCACAGAAACATTTTACAAAAATGCAAAAATGCATTTATCACATAATCCTCACAAAACCAAAAACCTTGATATGTACTTTTAATCTCCAATATAAGTAAGATATAAATAAAATGAACCTTAGAGAATTAAGACTCATACAAAACCTTTGCTTTCTGGTAAAGGACAGAATCTAATTTCAAACCAAGATTGATTGAACTCCCAAGCTGATTTTCTTTTCTTTTTAAATTTAATAACATTTTCTGGATTTACCATTGTTTTATAGTCCTATATAAATTTCAGAGGCCTATGTGGATAGAAGCTTCACCTCACCTACCACCAAAATTCCAGTGTCATCCCACCATATGTTCCCCAATGTTCCAAGCATCATTATTCACAACAGCTAAGACATGGAAATAACCTAAATGCCCATCAACAAATGATTACATACAGAAGTTGTAGTGTATGCCCTCAATGGAATATTATTCAGGTATGAAAAGAGATGACATCTCTCCTTTTGATTTTCTTTCCCCAAACCAATGTGGCAAGTCCCTTATTGGAAGTCCCTTCTAACACCAAAGGCTCTACTATTTTATGATTTCTAAGGAAATAATGAAGTTCTTGTCTCAATATTTCTTATCTTGACTCATTAGTAACATTAGTGGAGGAAAGACAATTCAGAATCTTAGTGCTTCTCCTGTTCTCCAGGTATGCCTCTGTGGGCCAAAGATATAGTAACACAAAAGATAACTTTCTTTAAGGAGTAAGTGGCTTGACCCTTGGGCAACACAGGTTTAGACTGCCTGGGTTCACTTACACTTGGATTCTTTTCAATCAATGCATAAATGTGTTTTCTTATGATTTTTAAAAACATTTTCTTTCCTCTAGCTTATTGTTAAGAATACAGTATACATTTAACATACAAAACTTACATTATGTTTATGTTTGGTCAATAGCAGGCTATTAAGTTTTGGGGGAAACAAAAGTTATACTTGGATTTTTGTGCAGAGCGTTGGCATCCCTATCCCCCATGTTGTTCAAGGGTCAACTGTAATACTGTTTTCATTCATTTTATTACCTGAGTCTCTGGGGTAGAGAGCAAGAGGATTAAAAAATAATTGCCAGGACCAAAAAAATGCTTTACAGATGCTTGTGAAATTGATACTATATGAATGAGTTTTTGTGTATAAAACCTAAATTTATACTTCTCATTAGATTAGGTTTTTAGTTTTGAGGGATTGGATTATGCACTTATTAGGAAATTAATATTTGTTTCAGTTCTGTAGCATGCTATGTTTGTTCTTGCTATAAATTTATTTATTTATACAAGAACTGGGGTCAGGCCAGAGATGCAGGAAGGTGAGAGAATTCACCAGAGACAGAGGGGGAGCAGAACAGGCAGACTGACCAATAGCACTGCTGAGGGGTGCAGCGGGTGAGACAGCAGAGGTCTGCCTTGCCATGTGGGTATATCCCTGGCCAGCCGGGAATTGAACCCGTGCTGCAGACAGCTTCACAGCACCAGTGCTCAACCTGCTGCGCCACTGGGGAGGCCCTATACATTTATTTTAATAATTATAACATGATCCATAAATTTAAGTCTGCAATCAGCAATGCACAATACTTAGGGAGCATCTGACACATGACATGGCCAGCATCACTTAATTATGGTAAATATTTGTAATAACAAACATTTGTATAGTGTAGTACTTAACAGTTCATCATAGGAGCTAATTTCACAGATGAAGGAAAAAGGGTTAGAAAGGTTAATGACTTCTACAAGCTCAAATTGCTAGAACGTGGCAGAATTGGCATCTGGAAAATACTCACAGAGTGCATGAATATAAACAGCTTCCTATCACTGGGATAACATGTTTTTATCAGAAAGACAATCAAAGACTATGAAACACTGTGAACTAGCAATTAGGGATAAGAAGTCATTGGTGTGAGAACATTAAGGGCATTGTGCCAATGAGACTATGAAGTCTGAGTTGAATAAGAGTAATTATAGGAAATTATGAGGCATCTGTGTGAAAGGGCAATTGTAGCACAGTGTAAGGAATACTGAGCTGAAAGATGGAAGTCAGTGGCGGCTCATCCGGAAAGCCGGGAGTTGGGCTGAATGAATGATTTGGCTGGGACATTCTGTTCTTATCCAACAGATAAATATCCTCTGGCTCTACCCTCTGAGGCGACTTCCTGCCTTGTAGCCAGGTCCTCCCATGCCCTCTAGCTCATGATTGGTTTTACCAATAAGGACCCTTGGTAGAGATGGGAGGAAGAGAAGTTAGGAATCACCCTTGACTGTCCCCGTGAGGTCTCCAAAGGTTGTGGCTCTTCTCAAGGGCTCCTCTTTGCACAATTCTCCCCTTCATGTGGCACTAGTCTTCAGGCCTGCATCCACATACTTGTGCTTCCCCTGTGGTCCTCCTGCCCTCTTTCCAGGTCAATATGGGTATCAGTAACCTTGTACACGAACTCTCCTCATAGCATCCCAATTTGAATGTTGCTCAACTCTGATACATTCTAGAAGATTCCTCTCTATGGTAATTCTATACAAAATGTCTTTGTGAACTATTGAAGCTGATTTGTTTATTCTTTCCCAAAGTAATGATTCTTGTTTTTTTATGTGAAGTTCAGATCATCTCCAAATTATTTCTAGAAGAAAGCGCTCTGTTTTTTAAAAAGTAGAATTATTGTCCACAATCATAAGAGAGAAGTCAAAAGTAAGTAAAATAAGGGCACAGCTTTATTTCACTACAAGGCAGTAAATACACTGTCATATCAGAAGTTCAGTGCTGGCCATCTTGCACCACTGGCTTAAGGCAGCAACCGGATATATATCCCAGTCTTTTGACCCCAGCTGCCAACACAGGTCCTGTGTGGCAGTTCTGAGACCATACACTTAGAAACCAGGGGGAATGTTGATAGAACATATAACCCCTGAATTAAAGAACACTCAGGCTGAACTCAAAACAAAATAAAGGACATTAACAACATAGATCTCCCAAAAAAGAAGTGCAATGCATGCTCTTATAAACCAACAATAAAAAAAAAATGCAAAAAAATCTCCCAAACAAGTTTTCCAATGTATTACAAAAGGAAAAATGTAGATATACATATATATAAAAAATAACAAAAGTTTAAAATACTAGTGCATAGTCAATTACCTAACACCAAGTTTCTTTTCTTTCCATCCAAAGCTCTACTGCCCCTCTGACACTAGCAGCATGTCTACAGGCTAAGACCATAGCAGCAAAACACATTTTCCATTTGGCATTTACAAAATTAAATTACTGAATAAAAATATAATTTTTTATAAAACTATTTCATACAGTAATAATTTTAAAAGCAAGCTAACAAAAAACTCATACAATGGTTTAGTACAACAAATGTACCTCCAATGTTATTAACCATAAATGAGCATTTACAATCTCGATTAATTATCTCATGGTAGTAAGCTGACATTTATAGTAATGCATTGTGTTTAGTGATTGAGAAAAGTGAAATATTGGAGTACATTTTTTTATGTAAAATTTCAAAACCCCATCACAGGAAAAAAATACTGGTCTGTTAGATCTTTGAAAATACAAATAAATCATCTTATGTCTTTAAAAATCTGCATTAAGATATTAACAACTGATTACAATTCATTACCTAAGAATTTAGGTAAGACTGTTATTTATTTATTAAAAAACATCTTTTTAGTTGGGTGAAATCCAGTCAGATTTCATCCACCTAAATGCACTTGGTGCTGCTCTCAACTGTTGTACCACAACAAAAATAGGGTCTTCTCCCATTCATGAAAAATTTCATGTAGAGGATGATATATCCCAAGACAACTTGAAGTGTTCTGAAAACCATAATGCTTGTCTGGAAACATCTCACATGACCAGAGTCTGGGTTGAGAAGGCATTCACATATTTCCGAGCCTGACCGGAAGCCGATATCTGATCTTCCGTCTTTCCACAGGATGCAGCCTCCCAGGCACCGCTGCAAGGCTAATGGAGAGAAAGAGGGTAAGAACAAGGCCACACAAGAAGTGCATCCTTTAGTCACAAATGGATTCCCAATCTCAGCAGAGCCAGTTTTGACCTACAGAATGCAGCAGGAAGGCTTTGGCAAATAAAACCTTCATCCTCTGAAACCCAGGAATCTAGCATTCCCAAGTGCTAGCAATTATCAAAAATGGTTCATCACTAAGAGAGAAAGGCCACTCCAAACAGTATCCTAAGATACAACTGCATCTTCATACTTGAACCTATTGTCTGTTGGGCGATTTTATCAAGATAATGATGGGAATGAGCAGAATCCCCAGGTATCCAAGGTGACCTATAGTCTTTTAGTCATTAAAGAAACTCCTGAGTGTTTTAGTCACCTGAGCAAAAAAGCTTCCTGAAGCTGATCAACCATACTATATTGATTGATCAACCATACTATATTCATTTTCTAACTGCAATATCTTTTTCTATCCATTAATATAGAAATATGTTTTTCAGGATAGCTTACATTTTAAAGACACATGGAAAATACAAGATAGACCAAAAACCAATGGGCAGAATTCAGATTCAGGTCCAGGGTTTGAGACTTCACAGACATGATCTTATTTATACAGAAGAGGGAGGTTCATTCTTTCTTTAGTTGGGCAGGAAACAGAGACGGGGAGAGGGGAGATAACTCATTCAAGGCCACCCACAGTAAGTAGTAGAGAGGCTTTGAATCGAATTCTGTCTCCTGCATAGCCCTGCTTCTGCCTTCCCTTCATGTTGCCTCAAACTAAAATATCTATTATTTGTGACTGACTTAGTTCCCAAAAGGATTTAAGATATTCAGACAAATTTTAGGCACTAAATACAAGATAACAGGGTTTACAAAGTGGACCAGACAGGGTCACAGAGAAATGTAGGAAAAATAAAAAATATGAATATGGGTGAGATTTGCATAGAAAACACTTGCCATGAAGTACATGTAAACCTCAAGCTTGATTCTGAGCTTCCTAGCAGTCAAAGCATAGAGGAAAACAAATACAAGTCGATACAAGATCTGGTATCCATGAGTTCAAAATGAAAGCCAAAGCTGGTTTAGAAAAAACACAACTGTTTGTGGTATTGACATCTAAGAGCACCACTTTGTTGTGGAACAAAAAATTAAGAAAGACCTCTGTTCCCTAGATCCTCGTGTCCTTGATGAGACAAAAGGAACACATGTAAAACAGGGGGAGCAATAACAGGCAGTGTGAGAGGTGTGTGGTGTCATGCCCAGGTGAAGATGGATGTTGAGGAATTAACAGGGCAATGCTGTAGGGAAAGAGCAAGAACAGACAAGATTTAGACAGTGGGAAGGAAGGATCAGAACACAGGTAGAGAAACAGCATGAAGGAATCCGGAAGCTGAATTTTTATACACTGCTGGTAGGAGAAACAAGGAGAGGGGGAGAGAGAGAGAGAGAGTGGCTTTAATGACAGCACTGAATGTGTTTACTATGTGACATACATGCTTCTGGGTATTTTGCATCATCTTGTTTAATCTACACACAAACATTTGTAGCACAGGTAGGAATCATTGCACCTGTTGTACAGACCAGGCAATTTTAAAGTAACAGTGAATATAAGCAACAGCTTCAAGGTCTGCTAGGTAATTAGTGATGGAGCAAAAATGGGGATCCAGAGCCTGATGAGGATCAGATGTTACTTCCATACAGTGCATGTCAGGGGGGACAGGCGAGTGCGTGTGAAGTGAGGGCAGGTCCTGGAGGGCAGGAAGAAGCATTCACATGGGATATGGAAGTCCACAGACTTTTTAGCAAAGAGGCTTGATAATTTCAGGTGAAAGTGGTATTTGGATGGTGATACTTTTCCTCACCCAGTAGCTGGAACAAAGTTTCAGGGACAGAAGGTTTACGGCACCATGTTACTAACTTGTCACTTTTCCTAAAACACAAATTGCATGCCACAAAACACAAATCTAAGACACAAATCTGCCATGCCACCTCACCACCCACATATGTCCAATTTCATATGTGTTTACTCTGAAGGCTCAACAAGTAACTTGAAATATTACCTAGCAGGATGAATGACTGTAATATTTTCTTGGAATTGTGTATCATAAAAATGACAGGACAGACAACAGGGATTCTGGGCTGACTCTAGCCAATGAGTCATATTTCATATTTTCTAAATAACCCCCCAGGATTGTTAGAGCATCTTTGAAATAGTTCTAAATACATGATATTTCTCTAGGCTCAAGCAAGTGGGATAAATATACAAATTTCTCTGTGGTGTATCTGCCCATCCAAATTCCACATTTAATTTAGTTGATTGCTTACATGCTGTTGCTTCAGTTTTTGAAATATAGCACAGGCAGCACCAAATAGTCACTAGAAGTCATTGAAAACATAAAAGTTAATGGTTATCATTTTAGCTGTCAAGCTTGTATGTGTAGCTACTGGAGCAATGTGACATAACATAACTAGTGCTCGAGAGTGATTAGTTCAGGAGGGTGGATGTTTCCCATGGAGTCTTGCTGGTGCTAAGGATGCACTTTGCAGGGTTTACAGTCATTGCTGTACAGAGGGCGAAGAACATACATTTTACAAAGCAAGTGATCAAAGAAGTGGAATGAAATATCTTAATAAACTAACATCTTATATGTAAATGTAAATCAACATAAAGATACACAAACAAAAATACAAGGAGACATTCAAACAGATGGGGTGGGAGAGTGAAAGTGAGATTAGAAGAGAAAGGGAAGGAAGGATTGTTTTGTGAATATTTTCCACTGAGCTATAGAAATTATAGGACTAATTTTTAATTTTAGAGTTCAATATAAAAGAATCAATTTTTAATTTAATTCATTTTAAGTAATTATAGCATTAATTTTCTAACCATAAATAAAGTACCTTAAAATATGATTTTAAAACAATCCTACACTTGCTTTTTCTATGATCCTTGGCAATATAGTACTTAGTTCGTAACTGAGAACTTCCCAAATCTGTTCAGGAGAGCCTAATACTAAGTATTATTAGCTTAAGATATTTTCAACTCGAAATTGCTCTCCCATGGGGCTCTTTGCTTTGTTCCAGTTTAGCCCTGGTATTTAAAAGAAGGACCAGGTATTTAAAACAAGGCCAATATAAAGCAAGTAGTATGTGTTTTTAAATAGTGTTTTGAGGAAACTTTTCAAATAGATAGTTTCTCCTAAGTCATAACAGACTTTATGAAAAAACAAAGAAAATTGACTGAATGCCAGAAAGCAGAGCACTCAAGGACTTAAGAGAGCTGAGCTCAGGGCCTCGGAAGGCAAAGGACCTGGACCAGCTGAATCTCTTAGTATAGAGCGACACCGCGACCCAGGAGCCACTGTGCGCAAGCACCACCATGTGCAGAAACAAGAAGGTCAGTGTGTGTGCAGAAACAGGAAGGAAAGTGGGTATGCACAAGTGGGCAGCTCCTTTTTGCACTGTGATGGCACAAAGCAAGCACTGCTCAAACAGTGAATGGAAAAGCAGGTCAGACAGAAAGGAAAGGAAGAGCAGAAGGTCAAGTACTGGGTGAGAACAGGAATGCTTGGGTCCAATAGTCAAAATGGCAGCTGCCTCCTCTTTTGCTATTTCAGTTTCTTCCTTACCTTGAAGCCCTGGGGACCTGGGCCAACTTTTCAAGCAGACAGAACAGTTTTGACAAAGGAGGATTAAATGTCTTTGTGCTGGAAGAATATTTTTTAGTAGTGTCATATATACTTCTGTGTATCTTCCTTATTCCCTCTCCTTAAATTTTATGTTCATTTTCACTAAGAATTTCAGAAGAATTATGGGACTTCTACACATGAATTCCTGGTAAAGTACTAACATGGTGCTATTGCTGACATGTCACTCTACCCTAATTCATTTCCAACATTAATAATCCTACTACACATCCTCCTCCTCTTGCCTGCAAGTCATTTTGCTTCTCCTGTGATGTGTGTTTAATTGCCCCTGGGCATATGTGAACTGTAAATAGACTGTCAACGCTTTAACTGGGATATCCTGCTAAAGCTCTTTAAATAAACATTCAGATCCTTTGTAGAAAACTCAAGAAATAAAATGAGACAAGACCATGTCCACAGGGGGTTTTCTGTCAGAATTAGATAATCTTGATATTTTCATGTAGAATATGAACAGTTTTTTCATCAGGCTGAACAACTGTTACTATTATTATTATATTCCTATAGCAACTTTTACATAGCTGCTGATGTCAAGAATCCTGGCAAGGTAAAGCTTTACAATCACAGACCTAAAGGGAAACTTGGATAAGTCATTAAAAAAAAATTTATAAAACAAAGCAACTTCAGAACCAGTAAATAGAGAAACCAGTAAATCAGTTGTTTCATCTCCATAACACCAAAGAGCTCTGACTCTCTTTATTTCAGGAGTCAGTTGAATCAGCGATCTCTTTTGGTGACCCACTGACACAGTTCTGCAAGAGTGGAACAGGGAATGAGAAAGCATGCTAGAGGAAATAATACACCACAATGCCAGAAGATCTGGCTGTTGGGGAGGCCTCCTGGCCCAAGTTTCTAAGGACAGGAACTGTGCACAGCCTTTGCCTATAAATAGGTACCACCCATGTACATTGGTAAGTGTGCTGCCATTTTGAAAGCAGTAGTATATCCATTTGATAGTCACAGCAGCTTTGTGTGATGAATGGCGAATAGACTATGACCCCCAATCTATAGATGAGAACATTCTGGTCTGAAGGGTTAATGCACTGGAGGCATGCCATTACAAAATGGTGGAGTCCATACTAGAACCCCATATTCTGCCTGCATGCTAGTTCATTCAAGGACTAGCACTTGTCAGCAACACAGAGAGTCTGTCCTATTTTTTGAAAAATTTACAAACAATTCATATGAAGATAGGGGTGAAACAAAATACATGGAATAAAAGAAATGAGTTTTGATTGCTTGCAATAATATTTGAAGACTCTTTGATGCTATGCTAATGTCTTAAATAATAATGGCTTGATAAATGTACTTAAAGTCACTGTTTTAAAAAAGTAAAGCCAAGACAAGCCAAGTCAGGAAATTAAAATTTAAGGCTGTCATTCTGTGGTTACAAAAAAGAGGAAAGTGGGTAAGTAAAAAGTATATGAATACATCTTTTACACTTGGGTTTTAAGTAGGAATAAAAAAAAAACCCTTTAATTTAAGGGAAAAATACAGAAGTTCAGAAGGCTTATAACTCTAGTTTTGAATCTATCAATGAAACTGTTCAGTTTAAAAGTGTTTATTAGCATAAAATATTATTTCAAAATGTAAGCAAACTGAAAGCATACTGAGAAAAATAGGCTTTTCTTCTTGCTTTGTGTGTGTGTGTATCTGTATGTCTGTCTGTTTCTCTAGAAGAAACTTTAAATAGCAGAGTTCAGTAGCATTTTGACACTGAATCTGCCTTTCCCACCCCAAACTGCAAACTTTCTAAGCTGAATGTTGATTTCCTCATATGCAGTCAGTTCACACACTTCCAGATACCATCCTCTATGTGACTCCCACAACGAGGAAAAAACACTATAATGGTACACTGTAGAAACCTCACATATGCTCAATTATATGAAAGATACAAATCTCAAAATGTCTCAACATTTTTATTATAAAAGTATCTGCTTGCTTTTATAATTTAAATTGGAGAAAATTTAAAAATATCCAACAATTATAAGATTATGCAGCTGTCATAAATTCCTCTTGGAAAAAGATTAAGCATAAACATTTTTAAAAAACCAATCATGCATTATTTGTGCATAATGGCTTAGAATAGCCTGTATTTAAACATGACTATATAGATGGGGGATATATAGGAAGTTCTGAGTTACTAAGACTCATCACTTCTCAGTGACAACCCATATAACAAACAAGCACATGTAATAACCTGATTTTGATCTCTGTATACCATTTCCCACAAAAAAGACCAGAGCACCTTGGAGAATGGCTGGTTCCAGGAATAGAGGAAGGAAATGTGTTAAATGAAAGCCATTTAAACAATATAAAATTGAATATTCTGTTCCTCTGTGGCACTAGCCACATTTTAAGGGCTCCATGGCCACAAAGGACTAGTGGCTGCTCTTGGACAAGAGCACACTGGACATTTCCAGCATTGCAGAATTACTGGATAGCACTGGCCTACAGACGAAAAGAAATGTAACAACAGTGTGTGAAACTATTTCAACTTTGAGCAAATTAATAATCAATGTATTCTTTATTGAATTAAAAGAAAAATTTAAATATAGCCTAAGAATTAGAAGATTAAGGAATTATTATTAATGTGCAATAATGGTATCAGGCAACACATAAAAATATATTTTTTTAGAGCTACATCTGGAGGTATATAAAAGTAAAATGTTACACTTAAATTTAGAATTTACCTTAAACTATTTCAAAAAAGTAAATGAAGTAAACATGTGAATAATTGTTAAACCTAAATCATAGTATATTTTTATATTCTATGTATGTTTGAAATGTATTATAAAAAAAGTTAAACTCATGGCTTTGTTGCATGTCTAATTTTAAAGTAACAATGTAATTACACATATTTATGTGTAAGCATGTGTACTTATGCTTACACGTAAGTACACATAAATATTAATATGCACATCAGAAGCTGAGCCATAAAAGCCCATATATGGCCTCAAAAACAATAGCTGCTCTATCTAAAGTATCATTGCCACAATAAAGCCAGAAACAATTAACAATGAAAGGACAACACAATGTTGCAGTTACCATAGCCTTTGACAAACTTCTCTTGTATCTAAGTAATGCTATTTTAATAATAAGATGGATACATAATCAATTAGATCATATAAGTGGCAAGTATTTTATGTTTTGGAAGTTTTAGAATTTAAAAATGTTTTGGGAATGAGGGCTACTTGTTTTAATTTAAAGCACTATGACAAAAATGTCTTGACTGTTTTGCTAAAGTCCAATTTTATATTATTACAAGAACAAATAATAGATTATATAAAAAAAAGTTATAGAGTATATAAAATACTCTTAAGTCTAAGAGTTAGATCCTTGGACAAATGCATTGTATGTTCAAAATATACCATGCATAAGAAATCTGCCTAATGAGGTCAAGTTGAATTATATGATAAAGCATTATGTTTTAAACAAATGTCACCAAACTGATGAATACCTACATAAATATAATTGATTTCCAATTCAGAAATCATATATTTTTATGGTATCAGAAGCTAGATCTCCATGACAAAATGGAGACAATTTGTGTGTACCATTCATTAATTCAGTGACTGTTTCTTAAAATGAATTATCTATTTTAGCACATTATTAAAATGCATTTGTTCTGTGTAAATCAGTAAACCATATTGAGAAGATATATTGATCTTAAAATTAACTTTTAGGCAAGTTTATCAAATATGACCACTTGATAAGCTAGACATATATACTAGAAAATACAGACTAATAAAATAGAGTTACTACTTAATCTTGAACTCAAACAAAACTAAAACTTCCATCAAATAAAATACAAATTATGTGGATAATAAGATCCCATACTTATTTTTAAAAATGCAATAGTTCTAATCATTTTGTATAAACACTATCTGATGAGAGTAAGAAATTTTAGGATTCAATCTTAGGAAATAATCAGGGATTTTCAACTTACATAATGATTTGGTTTGCACTTTGAGATTTAGAATGTACTTTCTCTATACTACTAAATGTACAGTTGAATCCCAGACTAGCTTACAAAATATATGTAAAACTATCTAGCTTAAAGTACGAAAAGTATTAGTCAGATTCTGTACCCTGGTAATCAAGGGTTAAGTAATTTGGAAAGGAAGAGGGAAAGTAAAACAGAGTTTCTCCCTTTGGACCCAGGATCAGCTACCGATAAAATTGTGAAACGGCTGACCTTTGCCTTGACATTCTTTTTATCCCTTTTCTGTGTCTCTCTTATGTCTTAGCTGAGTTTGTCCTACTCCTTATCTTCCAATTCTATATGCCACCTAATCTTCTGCTCTAGGGCCTACAGGCCTCATGGACCCAGGAGCAACTCCAGACTCTCCACAAGAACAGGTTTTCCCTACCCACTCCCCAGTCAACACTCATCTTTCACCAAAGCAGGAGGATCAGACAGAGGTCACAAGGAAAGCACTTTGATGGAATTAAGAAACAAAATGTGCCTGTAAGTCCTTCCAGCTGTATTTGCATTATTTAAAAAAATGTTAAAAGGCACAAAAACTTAAAGAAGGGAAGTTTCATGTTTCTCACAATTTGGGGAGAGAAGGCCTATCATAATGATGGGCAAGTCCTTTCCTTTAAAGGGCAGACTTTCAAAGCACACCTTCTTGCTAAGTGTCTTTAAATTCACTTTTGATTCCAGGTTCTCTCTATGCAGCAGGGCTTATGTTCCTCTCCATAGACCTTCGGGGAGAGAAGGGAGGGCACTGCAGGTGGCTGGACACTGGGCTATTTAATGTGGGGAACTGCTTTAAATAATTTAGGGGAGCAAATTTGCATTCCTATTTACATTTGGCTCAGGATTAATTTGGAGTTTGTTGTGTTTCATCAACATACACCTACTTCAGGGTTACAAGGGAAATCTCTCTCCATGTAAAACCCAGCAGCAGATGGTTGGCTACAGTTAAGACAGACAACAGTGACAGCTGACATTCTTATTCTGACAGTAGAATACATTGCAATTATTTTCTAGCTAGCTAATTTTAAATTTTGTTTAAAATGTAGACAATGTCTGAGCTTTGTTGGCTTAGTGAGAGAGCTTCAATAATAAACATTTTGGAATGAAGAGTAAACTCTAGCCAATAAATGGCACAAAATTCTTAAAAGCCAAAGGAGATACTGACCCAGCCACAGTCACAGAAAAGAAATGCTTCATATCATCCTGTTTTGGGAAGCTGCTCTAATAAAACTTTTCAGCATGTAATGAGCAGTAATAAGGAATTTTAGGTTTTTTTAGACATCAAGAATTGTTTCAAAGCATCACCCTTCTCATGTCTAAAATTTTTTTTGGAAAAAAGATGACAATTTTTCAGCAAATGACTTTTAAGATACCAACATTAGAACGGTGATTACCTGCAAGGGACTCGCCAGGGACCTGTGTTTAGGAACTGTAAAAGCTTTGAGAACATTGTCTTCATCTTCTGACACCGGTGTCATTAAAACGGAACTTGTAAGAATATTCTAAAGGGAAAGAATAATTTGAAATTTAAATGAGGTTAGATAATATGAGAGCTGACACAATTCTAACAATTTAGAAAATCGATTACTACAAGGTGGTACATATTATCATAAAAATAATACAAGTATCTGCCAGAAATTCTCTTCCTAACAAATTAGAAGGAGAATTCAACTATACACTAACCCTAGTTCCCATCATGGCAAACAACACCAAAACAAAGTTTCAGGGCCCCACATATTTCTGGGAAAGAGGTAGGCACTCGAAAAACATCTGCTAAATAAATTAATAAATACATGCTCTTAAAAGTGAAAGATTGTGAGTTTCTGGTAAGAGTTATCTCCTATAATGGTACAATGCAACTTTAGAGCTACAAACTAAAGGCAGTATAGTATAATGGTTCAAAGTATGGAATGTAGAACCACACTTTCTGAGTTCCACTCCAGAAGCCCCACTTACTAGCTATATAATCTTGAGCAAGTGACTAAGCCTTTGTAGGCCTCAGTTTCCCTACTGGTATAATGGAAATGATAATGCTACCAACCTTGTAGGGTTGTTGTGAGGATTAAAGGAGTTAATGCAGCTAAAGGTCTTAGAATAATACTTACTACTTAGTATGTACTGAATAAATCTTAGCAACTGTTATTAGCTCTGATTTTCCATTCGAGAGAAAAGGGCAACACTCACAAATTATAAACTTTAGAAGGGCAGATAACCAAGTACTAGAAAGAAATAAGCTATCAGGGCATAAAAAAGACAAAGAGGGAAGTTAAGTTCATTTAATAGGTGAAAGAAACTATTCTGAAAAGGCTACATACTGTATAATTTTAACTATATGACATTTGGGGAAAAGCAGAACCATAGAGAAGGTAAAAATATCAATGGTTCTCGAGGTTAGGAAAGAGGGAGGGAGAATTCAATGATGCACAGAGGATTTTTAGGACAGTGATGGATGTAAATCACTATAAATTTGCCCAAACCCACAGAACGTACAACAACAAGCGTATACACTATGGACACTGGGGTGATATGATGTGCATCATTGTAGGTTCATCAGTTAAAACAAATGTCCCACCCTGACAGGTGATTTTGATAATAGGGAAGGCTATGCATCTGTAGGAATAGGGGGTATATGGGAAATCTGTGCACCTTCTTCTCAACTTTGTTGTCAACCTAAAACTACCCTAAAATATATACTCTATGAAAAAATTGTGGTAACCAAAGCAAAGCAATATTGGGTACAATAAAGGATATCTACTATGGTCACCATATTTGGCACTATATTAGATGCTATATAAAATGAAACAAAAGACAAATTAGCAAAGATGACATAGAAGACAAATAAATGAAGGGAAAATATAAAATTCAGCATTCCTTTTTCATGGAAATATGTATATTCATGCAGCAGATTTTTAGGATGGATTCTCAAATCATAGAGGGTAAATTGAAAAAGTCTGCGATGGAATGAAATCTGTTTCCAATATGTAAACAAAATCTCAACTTCATAAGTCAAGATTAATAATCCTAAACAAATAATCATGCTAGAGAGAGTATTTAGAAATAAGATGTCCTAAAGAGTGGGAAGCCACATGCCACACTCAGAATTCTGTGAGGCCCCCACATCGCATAACACATGGGCATGTACTTACTGGCACATCAGCCACAGGCGATGCTTGTGTGAAAAGCTGAGTGTTCAGACTCTCCCCTTCCCAGTGGTTTGAGCAGAAGAAGTTTCCAGCTTTATCAGTTGGAGATTCCACCTAAAAGCACACAAGAAATGCTTTATTATTTTTAGCACTATACCTACCCATGAAAAATTTAGTCTCCAGTAAATTTCTGTAAGATGAAGGAGGCCTGAAGATCTAATGTACAACATAGTGACAACAATTGACAATGCTGTATTGTATAACTGAAATTTGCTAGTGTTCTCATAAAAAAAGGTATGTATGTGAGGTGAGATGATAGATGTGTTAATTAGCTCAGTGGGGTGGGATCCTTTCAATGAAGTATGCATCCATTAAATCAACACATTATACACTTCAAATCTCTTACAATTTTGTCAGTTACATTTCAGTAAAGCTGTAAAAAAAGGGAATTTTCTGGCAGTCTCTAAAACATTTACCTGTTATGAAAATAAATTTAAGAGGGATTAATCTAATCTGTTGGGGTGACTCCTTGTCACCAAGTTAAAACTCTGATCCTTGCTAGTTAGATGCCTGTTATTTTATACTATGCATTAAATATATATATATATAATATATATATATCTGTGATAAACAATCAGTAAAAAGCTGTTTCTTTTTTCTGAATCCTTTCTAGTTGTTTTCTGTTCAAACATGAAGCAGATAAAAGGGGTGTGGCTTCCCAAATGAAAGGTCAAAGGCCTGGGGTTTGACACTACCTCCTAACTGCATCTTGTATGAAAATCTTTTGTGAAAATTGGTCTTGTTAGTTGATGTGAAGTCAGACACATCAGGGCCGCCCACAGGGACTAAAGTGCCAGATTCGCAGCTGTTCCTTCTAAAGGATCTCCTGTTTACCTCTTGCTTGATCTTCTTCAGTAAAGGTGGTCCATTTTCTTGAAACTCAGCAACAATTCCAGATTCATCAGATTCCTGTTTGATCACATCCTGTAGGTCATCAACTAGATGAGATGGTGTCTGAGGCTAAAGAGAAGAGTGTGTTTGTTGGGATGAGAGGAAAATTTTTTTGTATCACCACATCCAGTAAGTCTAAGAATTTTGCTAAAACTTACTAGCATCTTAAGGGGGCCATATTTAATTTCTTGAGCTGCGAGTGCATGTTTGAATGGTGTAGGAGTCCTTGGAGAGCTTTCTAGAATTGACCTTTTGATAGCTGGAGTTCTGAAGCTTTAAAAAGAAAACAAGGTTGGCTCAATATTAAAAATAACATATATTTCTTACACTGCTCCACCTATTAAATTTAATATTTTTTTCTACTGTATGCAGTAAGCTCAATTGATCTGGAATTGGGTATGCTGGCTAATATATGTACTGTTAGGAAAAAGACAATAGGACAGCACATATTTTCAAATATTTCCAAATATTACACACCAAAGTCTATGAGCATTAGAATAGTTTTCATCATTCTTTAATGGTTTTGAACACAAGTTAGTACCCCATTGGTCTTTATAATGACCATAAGCATTGTGACAATATGATGTCACTCACGTACAAATTTATGTATTCATTCAAACAGGGCCCACAATAGGAACATACACTAACTTTTATAAATACTTAGTATTTATAAATACTTAGTATAGTATTTTATAAATACTTATAAAAACTTTTATAAATACTTTTATTATACTTGGAAATAATAAAATTTCACTTTATTTAATGGTTTCTTAAAATTTACATTGGTGGTCTCTGCCATTTCTTTGAATTGGTTAAGGCTTAACTGAAAATAAATGACTACTTAATCACTCCTTAATTTCTAATCATAATATTCCTCGGGATGTCAGAAGAGGTCCTATTTATGTATAAATTTCCAAAAGAAAAAAATAAGATTGAAAAAATATGAACTAAGAGTCATATTCATTCCTATTCAGAAGCTTACAATAAGAGATGAAAGAAGTTTGAAAATCTTGCTTTCACTTAAGAAAAAAAGGTCCAACAGAAAATACACAGAAAAACTGAGTGGAAAAACTATATGAAACTCCCTCTGCATATATACAGGAAATTTTGAAGTTAACTACAAAAGGCAATTTAGTTTATACTCCCAAATTCCACCTTTATGCTTGGGCTAGACATATTCAATGTGGGAATATATGTGACAAGGTACATACAAGTGTGTTCATGTGACTAAAGCCACATATATGTATCAGACACTTGGGAACTATGTACTATTAATTATATATATAATTAAATAAGATTAATTATTCTTAAACCAAAAACTTACATAGTATTTTCCTTTTGAGTTTTCACAGTCTGCTCTCTATGAAGCGGCGTTGTAACAGTCAATTTGTGACCATTGAGAGGGGTGGAAGTTAAAGAAGGCATTTCCAAGTCTAAATTTCCATGGTTACTGGAAGGGTTGAAGAACTACACAAGGGAAAAAAGAAAATTTAAAGTTAAAAAAAAAAAACCCCACTAAACATTGATTCTTTATTGAGCTCAACTTAAAAAATCACAACTTTTAAACAGTAAATATATTTTACTGACTCACTACACAAAATGACAAAGAAGTTAATGAGTATATAGTGTTGGACAGGATATTGTTTTATTTCAGTTGAGCACCCAAGATTTTGAGTGATTTCCAAGAAATAAAATCTCAGGTTAATGATGAAAAGCTCGCAAAATTCTAAGAAAATAGTAACTATACTATATCTGCCACTCTTTATTAACATTAAAAGTGTTAAAGTGATGTTTTGGAAATTGATTTTATCTCCCTTTTATGACCCTGTTTTCTCTAATCATCTACAAACCATTATTATAGGTTTACATTATGTTGAAATTTCTTGAATATCAGTGTCTCTCAGAATACTGATATTTTGGGGAAAATAATAGGTGTTCCTCTAACAGTTCCAAGGTAATATAAATGTGGGTAACCTACATATCATAATCTTCTTCAAGAAATTCATAATGCACATCCATTTATTAAGCACTCCTAAAGGTCTTGTTGTAAAGAAACTAAGTTTTAACTTTTTTAATTCACTGTTTCCAAATATATTTAGATGATTGTCTGAAATATTTATCAAAATCCTGCAGAATTAATATTCTCCAGGACACAATCTGGAAAATACAAGCAAAAAATAAGATTTTTTTTTTTTTGGTGGGCACATGATTTGTTCATAGTGAAAGATGTTCTTAAAAAAAAAAAAACAAAACCTCAACAGACATAACTGGAAAACTGTTTTAAAGTGCCAAATCATCTATTCACTTCAATTATTTTAAAAACAATACAAATCACTCATAAGAATTACAATTTTGATGCTTAAAAAAAGATATGCAACAAGAATTTCATTTGCAAAAACAATGCTAATCAAATATTATGGCACAACTTCTAAGAGTCAATGTTGAGAAATTGAAATTAAAACATAGGTTATTTCACTTCAGCTTTTGTTCCTCATCCTCTTCCAAAATTTTTCCCACTTTACACTGGAACCATTAGAATTTCTAGTTGCATCCCAAACTTATCTAAACATAGTTTGGCTGCTCCTCCCCTGGGGAAGTGATTCACATAATAATGTTTACAAAGAGGCAGAAACACTGTTAAAAAACTTAACAGGAGTGAAGGAATGGGCGGAGAAAAAGGGACAGAATGTTAGCTTCTGGTTTTGGAGGAAATAAAAGCACATCCCATGCAACTAACCATCTTCCAAATCACCAAAAGGAGAGGGAATGAAGACAAAATCATCAGTCAGCCTACTAACAGCCTATATGCTTGGGGAGACAGTATGACTTAGCAATAGCTAGATTCAAGGACAAAATGAAATCAGTGAGGGTATCAGTAATTAGTCATTTGTTCCAAAGGATTAGTTTCTAGATTATTAAGGCTCAAGTGTCTGTTGAAAATTAGTAACAGCTGTGCAGAAATTTGCTCTACCTGTGAGGGGGAGAAGGGTAGGCTTTTGACAGGGGAACGCTTGGGAGTTGAACTGCTGACGTCAGCAAGTAGGAAGGAGCTACAGTCTCCAGTGGCTAAGGGGCCACTCTCCTGGCCCCGCTTTTTTCGGAGGATGACCAGTGGAATTGTGCTGTGCCTCGCAGGAAGTGAGGGCTTGAGCGAGTCAAGCGAAGCCTCACTCAACTTGCGTTTGTTCACCCTCGTTCTAGGCTCTCCTGCAGGTCTAGTCACATTGCCCTCTCTCTGCTGAAGCTGTAGGGCTTTGCCTGCGTGATGTTGGCTAGGTGAAAAATCTGCTTCTTCAAAGAATTCAAAACTGCTGAGCTCACACCATGCTGAAGAATCCTGAAACAATGTGGGAGGCGCAGAATTTTGAGACAGTGTGTGCCTGATGTGTGCCATCACCTGAAACACAGCACTGAGAAAGACATGCTGAATGCAAAGAAAACACCTGGGCTGCTCATTTGACTTCTTGAGAAAGAGCTTCAAGATTAGCAGTTGTGCTGTTGCTCTTCATGAGAGGGTCAGCCGAGCTGCCTCGAGGCTGGTTCCCCTAGCAAGCCGCAGGGACCTCCCAGTTATCGCTCAACTATATGGCACTCAAAGCAAAAAAGGAAAACTTTTCTAGATAGCATGTTTGGGCAATGTTTGTTCCTTGTCCAGTGGCCATGCAATAAGTGCTTTCTGATTAATGGGGAAACCAAGGAATTGAATTGAGGGTCTGCTTTTGAGGTGCTGAACTCAGCTTTGTTTCACCAAAGGCTTATCTCAGTGAACCAACTGGGACTGCTCATCAATAATCAACGTTTTGTGGAGAAAACCATGGGCCACCAATGAATTTACTGTCATTTCAAATACACTGAAAAAAAAGAAGTCATAAGCTCTGAGTAAACACAATTATTTAGGTACTATCCAAAATGCAGGACCTCCCCGGTGGCGCATCCGTTGAGCGCTGGGCTGCGAAGCTGCCAGCAGCCTCTGCAGCACCAGTTCGATCCCCGGCCCCCGGCGAGGGTCCCACATGGTGCGCAGACCTCTCCTGCCACCCACTGCTCCCCTCAGCAGTGTACTTCGTCAGTCTGCCTGTTCTGCTCCCTGCTCTGGCTCTGGTGAATTCTCTCACCCTCCTGCGCTTCTGACTGTACCCAGTGCTTGTATAAATAAATAAATAAATCTTAAAAAAAAAAAGAAATAACAAAATGCAACCAAAAAAAAAAAATAAGTTAAAAGTAACTCATACATCTTTCTCATGACCCAAGCCCTACTTATAGATCCTGAACTTCACTATTTAAAAAAATACGCATTTTGAAGGAAAAGTGTGAGGAGCTAGGTAGCCGTGAAATTAGATCTTTGAAAAAACATATGCACTAAGACTAAAGTCATACTTTCACCTTTACATTTATATATGCTGAATAATGTGATATTTACTACAGAAAATGGCAATGATTAAAGAAATGGGTTTCCTAATTCCCCTTCCAAAAATATGAACTTGCCTTAACCCATCTACTTACAGAATCTATAAATTGAATTGTTTCTGCAAGTTCTAAGATGTTCACATTATGAATGGTTCCTTGGTGGACGATCATGCACCTGGCTGGAGAGGCGCTTTCTTCAGGTAGGGAGCCAGGATCCACTGGCAGGGATGGAATGGAGTGGTGTTCCTCCAAACAGGAAACAGGTGCACTGTCTCCATGAGGTCTGGTGTGGTCGGCAATGGTGGTGCTGTGCCACCCGGGGTAGCTGCATGTGTGGTTCTGTGTCTAAGGCGGGGGGTGGGGAGGATAAAGAAAGAGTGGAGAGAAGAAAGGGAGAAGGAACTTAGCAATAAAATTGCACAAGGTATTAGATGCTGTTGGAGGAAAGATAAAAGCAGTTGCATCATCTAAAACTTACGCCTCTGAAACAGTTGTCAAGATGTTTCCTTTTACCAATGCAAGACCAGGCTTTTTGATGGTGGAAGAGTCCCATCTACATGATTACCTTAATTGTCATCATAAAACTGCAACTAGAGGGACTACATTGACATGTGCATGCCAACTCTCACATGCAGTGTCTTAAAAAGCTACTTGAATGTAATTTCCAATAGCACCATAAATGCCATGAATTAAGAAATGCCCTGTTCTTAATTCAAAGTTGTGAAAAGGGTGGAGAATTCAATAGATTCGCTTTCATCTGCATATATTCTTGCTGCTTCTTTCCTTTTCTAATGCTATGATTGCACTGATGCCATGAAGGGCTGCCAAAGCAACGTGGTTAGGAAAGCAGAAGAGCAAATTAACAGAAGTCTCCTTTCAGCATGACCATGCAACAGGAGAAATTGCAAAACATTAACTAGAGTTAAAAAGTGGTTGGACATTAGACACATCATCATTTTATTATTTAACCAAAAAAGAACCTTATTCCTAAGAATACCTACTAGGTGTCACAGCTCTTTTATTCTCTTGGGTACTATCCAAAATATAAGGTTTTGCTGTCCAATCATTAAAACAGATACAAAATTCAGTAATGGCTCACATAGCTTTCATGCATGCAAAAAAAAGAGAATTCCTAATGTTATCTATGGAGAGATTATACAGATGTTTTTTACATGTATATACTGAACCTCCATCAAATCAGATTTTAAATTATGAATTATGAAAATCTAGGTTAAGAAAAGAAAGAGAAAAATCAAAGGAATAGGAACCAGACACACAGCTTCATGGGGAAAAAGACAGCAAATTTTCGTTCATTTTATCTTGGCTAGTCTTGAAATTGATTACAGTCCTTAGTCTTATTGAAAATAGAAAAATTGATGATGACACTCACAATTGAATACTGAGTCTCTATTGTAACAAAAATGTACTAATTTCAAGGTATTACTTCCTGGTAGCAGCTATATTTTATTACATGTTTAAACATTGTTAATGGATATATAGAGTCTTGATTGGTGTCATATTTAGAAGAAAAGGAAAGACACAAAAAAGCACTGGAGCAAAGCTACTATCCATTCCTCCCCCCACCACACCTCCCATTCAAGCATAAGGTCACTGTCATGTTCTTACTGGCAGAGCCTGCTGTCCTTTGAGTTCATTCTCAGTTGACATTAAGAGTAACTCTAATTCCTTTATTCGCTTTTCTTTCTCAGGGTCTTCATCATTACAGTGTCTCTGAAAGTGAAAGTTAAGAAAAAGACAAAACTCTGATCAAAAGGTGTAAATACAATGGTTGTGGCCAGCAGTTCCCAGGCACCACAGACCCAGAGTTTTAGCTGAGACTAGAGCACACGCTGACTGGTGAGTTATTTCAATTTATAACATCAGAGAGGCTGAGAATTCCAAAGCAAATTCAGGTGAAAATTATTGTTTAGGTGAAAGAAATAAGCTGTGCCTCTCACAGCACATGAGTTTTCTCCATGAGATAGTCTCAAAATGCTCTCACCTGAATGGCCGCAGCAGCTGGCTGAGGGACATTGACGATATTTACATGTAACGCTACGGGATATGGGACATGACTGGAGACCTAGATCACAAAGGCAAAGCAGACAAAGGCTTAGTCATTCACTATTATCTATGCCTCAGGGGACTTGGCTCCCTGAATTTTGCTCTAGAAAGAAAAAAAAAACTTCATTGAAAAAGTTCACTAAACCAAACTTTAATTTGAAATTTTAGCTAGACCTGTTAAAAATAGCTATAGAGTTAAAACATTATAAGGAGCAAAACTTAAAGTGCTTGCCAATCCTCATAGGAAGTATTCTTTGATTAAAGAAAAACACAACAAAAAACATAATCTAAAATACATTCATGAATATATAAGTTTTGATGGGAAAAACTGATAGCAGTAGTTGTTTATACATAAAAATGATTTTCTGGTAATAATGAATTTTAGTTAAAAAAACCACAGATACTCTATGGTAGATCATTCATCTGAGACCTTTCTGCAGAGTCTGTAGTCAAATGCATGGAACACATAGAGAGTAAAAACTACTTATGAATATGTTTTGCATAGAATTTGTATGTGGGCTCTATTTTCTTAGGTAAGTTTCATCATTTATTATTGTTAGTCTTAAGATGAAAATTTTTTTTATTTTTCCTCTTTATTCTTCTGTCCAACCATTATGAATATTTCTTTCCCTCATTACAAATACCTAGAAATGAGGAAGGGCTCATATTGGTCCACAGGAGGTTTAAAAGGAGACATCAAAGAATGGTGTCATACACTTGCTCCTGACTCACAGAAGATGAACACTGAGGGAACCAATTACGACATTCCCACTGAATCACCACTCGAATCAAACTTAAAATTTCATCTGCCCAATTTCAGTGTCAATCCATCTTCACTTTAAATGCAATGTTCCCTTCACTTTCATTCTGAAAGTGAAAAACAGACTACAAATGTAATTTCATTCCCTCATTCTTCTTTAGCAGTGCCTGATGAGGTAGATTTATATTTAAAAGCTAACTTCGAATTAGAGTTGAAGCAGGAAGTTAGGCTCACACAATCTGGACTGTAGTCTGCATTATTTCTGCCAGCTGTTTAATCCTGGACAAATCACTGAATATCCTCATTTCTCAACACATGTCAGGGATGACAATATCTAGCCCTGTCTACTTCAAAAGGTGTAGGTGGGGATTGATCATGATCATGTTTTGGATACTTTCTGAAGAGTAGCAACTGCAAGTTTATCTTAATACCTTGAGCTAACATAACCATTTCTCATAAGCCAAATCCCTAGGAATGGCTTACATTTTGTGGATCAGAAATGTGGTAATAGGAATACTCATTATTCACTGAAGCCTGGCCAGTCGGAGGGAGTTGAGCTGAAGGTGAAGCATGAGCAAAACCCATTAAATGACTGTTCTTCTGAAAACTTGTGGCCAATGCTGGCTGGCTGGCTTTGGAAGACTCCTGCAGATAACCTTCCTGTTCCACCTTCCGACGCATTGTAGAATTCCAGTGGTTCTTGATAGCATTATCAGTTCTGCACAGAAATATATCACATAACAATATTACAAAACAAAAATTTCAATTCAGATTAGAGTTAATTGACAGAAAACTGTTTCTAACAGAGACCTTTTGGTCCACTAAGAGTCTTTTTTTTTTTTTTAAATTGCTTTGATCTCTACCTCCCAAAACCATGTTTCCCTGAATACTTATTAAAAACCCAAAGATTTCCCCTAATTAAAAATATATAATGTTTGTAGTCTTCTATAAATTTTGAGATATTTTAACTATTTCATTCCTTCATGAAAGAGTATTTTCAACACAACACTGATGCTTTTTTCTATTTGTGGTAGAACTAAAAGTTCTGGCTGGTCTAGAAAATTACTGATTTGAGTGTGGTTTGGCAAGGCCTACCTACCACAATAGGCATTCGATAAAGTCTGGTGAATGATAATGTTGCTGCTGTCACCTCTCTGTCCACTCTTCATCTTGAATGGCACTAGCCAGAAATTCTGAATCAAAAAACAACAGCACCAAAAATCCCACAAAACTTCCACTTTTCAAAACCACCCCATTTGTTTTATGACCAGACAGGGGTGAGAACGAAAGACGGGATTCAGAAGGGAACAGTGCTAACTTCCAATATGTTCTCATACTGCAAAGCATTTTTACTAAAGTCTTTCAATTTTCAGGAAAACAGTTTCTCAATTCAAAAAAACCGTTTTAGCCTCTCTTTTACTATTTCGACGGGGATGGGGGGATGTAAGCTAAAGAAAGAGGAAGTTCACTAGCCCCTTAATTTTTTAGAAGAATCAACAGCATATCCTCTCAGACCATGCAGAATAAAAAGCTTCCTTTTACTAACTTCTTGAATTCTCTAAACTTATACTGAATCATGAGCAATGATATTCTTTGGAATATCATAAAAGAACACTACACAATCCAGCAGAGTCATGGGCTTCTTTGAAATGATCCTTTCTCCACTTTTGGGTTATGAAGCTCAAAAATGAAAATATTTTCCATCTTACTTTTTTTAATGTAAAATGTAAGTAAAAAATTATGTTTCCAAATTAAACAAAATCTGTCATAACTTTATAAGAGGGGACACAAATGAGCTTCCATAGAGATGGTTCATAAGGTGATTTTTGTGCCTTTTTCATCAAAAAAAAAAAGCTATGACACATTTTAAAACCTAGAAGCAGTATGATGATTCTAGAAATACACTATTTCTTTCCTCAAGTGGTATAATGAAATGAACACTGTATCAGGAAAATGGTGGCCAAGTTCCTTCTGGTCACTTAAGCAGCTGTGTGAAATCTGTCAGACCAGAGAGAAACCATCTATCCTCAGTCTCCTTCTACATGTTTAGAGTTTTGTAGTTTACAAAATGCTTTGGCATTCATTTTACTTGATACTAACATTGATCCTATGAAATAGGTTCTTACTCACTTTGCAAATGGGGAAACTGAGGCCAAGGAAACCTCAATGATTTGGCCCAAGGCTCACTATTGGGTAGATTCTGGAAGTCCTTGACCAGATAAACCTTAATTAAGATCTCCTCTAGTTCTAAAAGGTGTGAATCTAAAACGTATGGATACTTACGATTGATAAAATATATAAGTCACTCACCATACATTTAAAACAGAATGTTCAATACCCACTCCCTTATGCATGCCCATTAATATATTTTGTACATATTATTACCGTCCAGGCAGTAGCTTTGCGATTTCTGCCCATCTGTTCCCCAGTCTCTTGTGTGCCTGGTAAATAATTCTGTCTTCCTCTTCTGTCCAGGAGGTTTTCTTAACTTCTGGATTCAAGTGGTTATGCCACCTCTCCCTACATTGTTTTCCAATTCTCCCCTTTAAGTGCTTGGCAATAACAGACCAACGTTTCGGACCGTATTTCTGTACAAGCTCTATCACCTTCAGATAAACACACAAAAATAACCTATGTTTTAATGTCATATAATGAGTCAGAGTAATCATTCAGTGTTACAAGAGCTTTAGAAAATTTCTAAAAACCGGCTTTCATTCATTGGAAATACGGGAATAGAGTCCTCTGCTTTCTGTTTGCATACTTTACCTGTCTCCTGCAGCTGGGAAACATTCAACAGAGATGTTTAGGGAAAATTCTTAATTGTGATTCATACAGCTGTGAAGAAAGAACTTACTCTCTGATCTTCTTCTTTGGTCCAAGGACCCTTGATGAGCTCAGGGTTTAGAACTTTCTGCCATCGGTGCTGACATTGCACATCTGTTCGATTCTAGGCAAATAAGATTAAGTATTCACTGTTATATAGGCATGATGTGATAAGTACATGAAGGCCTTGTTATAATATGAATCATTCATAGACAACATATGGAGAAAACATTCAAGAGTAGTTAGGGCATGTTTGGCAAGCCCATCCATCCCTCATTATTTACAGTGTAAGAATATACAAAGTAACATCTAAAGTCAGAAGCACTGCCTCCTGAGGAAAACAATTCTGCCATGAGAAACAAATGATCATCATGTTATACATATGGCTAACAATGTAACTTAAGCTTAACCTGAGTTTGTTGCACTTGGAAATAGCTACATGGACAGAGACTAAGACTTGTTAGAGATCCATATTAATGTTGGACTCTTATGGATACCCACTATAAATGACTCAGATTTGCTTCTCATTCAATCTAGGGGATGCCCTTCAATTCAGTAGCACAGTATTACTATTGCAGAAGGAACAAAGATAAATAAGAGATACAGGACCCTGAATTTGATTCATATTAAGACAGAATTTCATTCATATGAAAAGACCAAAGCAAAATAAAATTGGAATGGGAAAAGGAGCATCTCCTTATGACTTACTATGTTTCCTTAGGAGGAGTCCTGAATAACTCTTGATATAGACTTTGACATATGGATAGAACATTCTAGAAGACAGGGCCATGAGGAACAAAAGCCCAGAAGAGAGAAAGCAGAAATGAATTGAACCAAACGTGCTTACAGAGAGGAAGTAAAAAACAAAACTAGAGTGGTAAATTGGGGCCACATGGGAGATCCTGTGGGTGCCATATTGAGGCAGTTTACATAATAGGTGAGAATTTAAGTCACGGTTGTTGGTTTTGAAAAGATAAGATATAGCAGCATTATAGGAAGCTCCATCTACCACTGGTGCTTGGGACGGATAGAAAAGTGAAAAACTGTAAGCAGGGAAGCCATTGTAACAGTCCAGGAGGAGTAGTCCAAGGAAGGGGTTTTAACTTATGGAAGAAGGAAAAGAGGGAACTGAAGACAAAGGAATTCTATATTTCTTAGCAAACACTTGATTGTAGGGGTTAGGGAGAGAAATAAGTCTAGAAGGACTCCAAAATTTGAAACTGGGTTAACAAAAATATGACAAAAATAGGGACTCTAAAAGAAGCTAACTTGGGGGGGAAATATCACCAGTTTAGTTATCAACCATATGACAAATCATCAGAATGATAATAATTTATGTTATCCAAATACATGAAAAGATAAAATAAGAAGCAAATGTTTAAAATTGTTCTAAAAATGTTATACTTTAACTGTTTATTTAGAAATATCACATTAATGGTATATAATATAAACTATAAGTTATGGATCAGGTGTTTCCTCCCCTATTTCTTCAAATGAGCATATATGTAATATCTTAATAGTCTCTTCGAGAATATCTTATTTAAATATTTGGCTGATTTCCTTTTACAGAGACAAAAAATTCATTAACTTACCGGGAGATAATTGGCAATAACTTTCCAGTCATCTGTTCCATTCTGTTCCACCAGCTTCTTTAGCTTTTCATCCTAAGACATTTAAAGGTAATCCTAGTATATCAATCAGTTACTGTAAACTCTGTTGTTAGAGTCAAGGAGGAGAACAATACCATTATCCAATCCAGAAAAAAAACCTCTCAAGAGCATCCAACTACAACAGATACTGATATAACATACTGGTGGAGAACATACACTTACAGGCAAACAGACCAGAGTTTGAAGCTGTACTCAGCTATTGATTAGTTGCCTAAGCTTTGGTATATCATTTTGCTTTTCTGGGCGTAAATATTGTCATCTATACCATGGAAATGCGGATGTCAGTAGGGTTACTCGGACATTGCATGAGGTAATTATGTTAAACATTCAGTGTAATGACTGGCACACTGAGTGTTTAATATATTGTAACACTTGAAAGTTTTAATTTGTGAGTAAAAATTAATTCCAAAGTTAGATCCAGTAGATGTTGAACTATGACAATAGACAGAAAATCAGGTAACAAGTAGCTGAACTTCCACAATTTGTTAGTATAATTTCTTTCACATAAAAAATAGAAGATCACACTTCTTAAACTTGAAGGCACCTATGATATAAGAAAATAATTTAGTTTTTGTATTAATATATTCACAATTTAAATGAGGCCAAACTTATGAAAGCACAAAGACACTAGACATCAAGGGGAAACTTTTCAGTTCACAAATGTCCATGTAAACATGTTCTTTCAAGCTAACAAGCACCTTCCTGTTTCTGCAAAGAAAACTTTCACACACAATGAGTCCCTGGTAGGAACAAGACATGGGACTTACGAAGCCAGAGTCAATGACAGAACTGCTATATCACTAAGGATCATTCAAGTACACAATTTCCATGGGTAAACTATGCATTTCCTATGGACCTCACTGGAAATCCTACCTGGACATCAAAAGGGGCTCTGGTAAAAGTAGGGTGGAATTAAATGGAGTAAGAGTCCATTCAATGTACCCTAACATGAAACGCTCTAATATTAGGTGCATTTTTTGAGAACTTTAAAGAAAAAGCAACCATTTCTATACATTAATAATTTTGCTCCTTAACTACTTTTTCATTCCTATAAAGATCAAGCTTTTGATAAAAAAGAAAAAGAAATTTGAGAAACAAATATATCTCCATCCACTACTGAATGCTTTTAGGCCAGATAATTCATGTATGTGGCTATGAAATATTATATAACAAGAATGTTAAATGAATTCATTAAAATGAGACCAGATCTATGAGTGTTTTGTTTTTGGAAATAGTAATTCATTAATTTGTTCAGGGAACCTTTGTTAACAGAGTGGGATACATTCCAAGACCCTCAGTAGATGCCTGAAACTGAGGCTAGAATAACTCTCTATATATGCTTTTTTCCAATACACACATGCCTATAACAAAGTTTAATTTATAAATTAGGCACAGCAAGAGATTGACAGCAATAATAAATATAATATATATAATATACTTTAATTAAGGTCATGTGAACATGTGTGTCTCTCTCTCAAAATAGCTTATTGTTTTTAATATTTTCAGACTGTGGTTGACCATGGGTAACTAAAACTGCAGAAGGTTAAAGTGTAGACAAGGGGGGGGGTCTATTGTATTCTACTCCCATGTCTAGCAATTCTGAGTTCAAGAACACAAAAATGAACATACTTGAACAACTGCCCTGCCCTCAGCAGATTTATAGTCTACTGGAGAGGCATATGTGTTACAGCAACAATAAGCATGAACATGCATCCAGTGGCTGGAGGATGCATCCAACTTGGGGAAAGCTAGGGATGGCATCACAGAATAGGTGGTATCCTCACGGGTGATAAAGAAGGAACAAGTTGTAGATAAAAGTCAAGAAAGAACAGGTAGAGGGAAACAGATGAAACAGGAGGTGGGAAGGAGAAGACCTTCAGAAAAGAACAAATAGCTTGGAAACAGTTGACACAGCATACATGAGGGAGTATAAGTGCTAACTATGCTGCACATGCAAATGAAGACAAGATTTTGAAGAGCCTAATGATTTGGAGCCCCTCTACCTTAGCTGAAACTTGGTTTTACACAATTTGCTACACTCCAGGTTTTCTTCCATGTTTTGATAATGTTAGTACTTACCTCTTCCCTGGTCCACCTGGTTTTCCCCAAGTGACGCTTTCCAGACTTGGGAAGCAGTCCATCGTAGTCATGGTCACACATCTCAATGTCTTCATCATCCTCATCGCTACTGTATATGCTGCAGAAATAAAAATAGGCAGTTGTGGACTAAAACAAGAAGATTTAAACGATCGAATTACAAAACATACACAAAAGCTCCTCAACAATCTTTTCAAAGGTTACAAAGATAAAACTGAGAACTGGCACAACAAGATTGTTTTCTGCATTCTATTGCTCTCATTCTGTAAACTGGTTCTGCTGTTATTGGTATCCACAGATACGGCAAAGGACCTGGCACTTTCTTATTGCTCTGCATGTTTAAACCTGCTGTTACTGTTAGGCCAGTGACAAGTTACACTTTTGGCAACCTTCCAACCAATGAAGGTGAAGTTTAAAACAATGTTAAGGACAATTAAAGGAATGAGAGTCCATATCCTTTATATAAGTACACACTCAAAATCTTTGGCTTACAACATATCGCTTAAATAATATTTCCCAAATAAAATAAATAACCCAATTGTGTCATTGCAATAGGAACTGGTATTATATTAAAAGAAAAAAAAATCAAGAAGTAATACACCCAACAATATAATTATAGTCATCCCTTAAAGATTAGAAGATTAAGAGAACCTAAGAGGAAAAGATCAAAAAACCTGAGGACAGATAAGGCCATCAAGTGATTAAGCTGCTTTGTAAATAACATTACTATCAAACAGCTCAAAACTCCAGGCCAGGTTGATCCAATTTGTGGTCATGTTGACAATACTCAGTTTCCAGAATAACTAGGCCACTTGATAGTCAGAATCTTACTTACACTTTTGTTTTTTCTATCTCTGACTAATTAGGATCTGAGGTATCTTAAAACGTACCTATTCAAAACTAAGGGATTTCCCTCAGGTGGGTTTAAAAAGAACTCATAACTTTTGAAGTAATGTTATACTTAATGCCTATTACTCATATACTAAATAGACGAGAATAATTTTTACAGTCACACAGTTTACTTTTGTTATATATTTAGTGATAAAATTTAATATGAGGAAAATTATACTATCTTAGAAACTTCATTAAAATTTGCCATGGGAACATTGAAGAATCCATCAAGCTGAGTCCAAAGCAAATAACAATACAAACCAGTATCATAATGTAAATGATTTTTTAAATGAAATCTATATTCACGGCAGGTTTTGTTTTCCCAAGCTAACTCTCCAATACATATCACTGACCTCTAGAAATAAAGCAAAAGTGTTTATCAAAAATCCTCAAATTGAGATTTTATCATTTAAAACTATTATTTTGGGCAACAATTTGAAAGACCAGGAAGCAGGGTGACAAGTAGGATGTGTTCCAAACTTAAAATACCACCACAAAAAAGGCCACGAAACTATATTTATGATCTATAATTTCTTTCATCTAGTGTCTATCCTTTTAAACACGAGCCTAATCCTGTTTCTCACTGTCAACAACAGGATCTAAAGAACTTCTGATTAATAATTACAACAGCTTTTCCTTAATAAAAAAAAACACAATCATCGTAAGATGAAAAAAAAAAAAAAAAGCTATTATAAGCCCAGCGCTGTAAGTCAGCATTTTCTTAAAGACTCATAGGGAACTCTTTGGAAAGCCCCCAACGCAGTGGCACCTTGGTGAAACATCAGGGATACGAAGAAAACCACAGAAATCTGAAAGTAGCATCACAGATTCAACTCAACTTAACTTTTCAGGTTTGACTGGATCTGGAGATGATCTTTTCAGAATTGATGACTACATTTTCCAAACCAGTAATTGGGCACCTCTCGGGAACAGCTCAACACTGAGGAAAAAGCAACATATTCAGTGGCCCATAGGGGGCAGCAACGTCAGGTGAGACAGAACAGCTACCAAAGTGGACTAGGGTTCTGGAGGCAAAGGTGCCAGTCCTAATTCTGCCCCCACCTAGCTGCCAGACTTGGGCATTTCACTTCCTCTCTCTCAGGACCTCAGTTCCTTGCCTGCACCTAGTAAGGACCTGGATTCCATTTCTGAACTACTTTCCGGTGCTCTTAAGTGATAATTCGTAGTCTTCTGTGTCTTTTAAAAAGTAAGCACAGAAGCAGAGACATGCAAAACTAAAGTCTTGGGGGGAAACGTGGTGAGCGACTTGTGCAGGTCTCGAAGCGGCCATTAGGGGAGCAAGGCAAGCCCCAGGCAGCTCAAGCTGTTGGCTCCCGGGTCCATCAGCCGACTGGGCACCGGGACTCGCTTTTGAGTTTGTTGCATACGATACCCTTGCTCTAAGTCGTCCCGGCCCCTTAAACAACATGATTAATTTCTACTAAGGACCTGAAATAACTTTTCCTTTATCTGCTTTGACAAGATCTCACCCAACAGACAGAGAGGACTTTCAAAAGTTGATTTCAGGCTTGATGCACTTGACTCCCCCACCTGCCAGACCTGGTGTGGTTACCAGAGTACAACTATGAATATTACATTCTATCAAGGAAACAAACCGTGCAGAGAAACGAAAAAGAAAAGAGGTGTTGGGGGTTGGGAAAAGGGAGGGGAGCGGGAGGAAGTGTCTTGTGGCCACTACCGTGATTCTAGAAAAGGGGTTCAGACTCATTTCGCTGACCTGGTTAATAATCCCTACCGAGTTGACGCTCGCCTTGCAAGAAACGGCTAGGAGCCCGCAAGCGGGTTTCTCTTCCCCCTGCAGCAGATTCAAGACTCCCGCCCCTGCGGGCCGCCTCCCTTCTCCGCTACCTGGGAGTCGCGGGGAACCTGCGCGGCCCCGCCCCGCGGGGACAGCAGCGATCCCCGCGAAGCCTCCACTACGTCTCCTCCCCGAACCCCTTCCCGGCTCCCTCCTCATCTCCCCAGTTCAAAAAATTAAAATAAAAATTTAAAAAGTGACAAGTGACCTCGGCCGCTCTACAGTTAAGTCTCCGGGCAAAGGTGAACCCCTCCAAGCGCTGGCACCTCCACCCCGCGCGGCCGGACCCAGAGCCAGGCTTGGGGCGCCCGCACCAAGTCCCCACCCCCACCCCCAACCCCGGCGTCGCCCCCCCTTTCTCCGGCGCCCAGCTAGGCCTTGGCGCTGCTCCCGGCTCGCTCAGGCCGGGCCCCAGGGTGCTGCTGCAGGACCCACGCCCACGCTCCTGGCGCGTTCCCAGCACCGCGCGGGGACCAGAGGCCGCCGGTTCAAAAACACAGAAGGACGAGTCAGACCAGAGGAGCGGGGAGCGCATCTGCTTTGCCTCCAGGGCTTCCTCCCAGGTCCCCTTCGCGAGAGTCCTGCGATCGCCGCTCCCCGCGCAGGCCACCTAAGGCGGCGGGAGCTGCGCGCGGGGAGGAGCGGCCACCTCGGCGGCGCCCACGTGTGCGTGCCGCGCCCGGACCTCTGCGCAGGGCGAGGACCCGAGGGACCGCGTCCCCGTTGCGCGGCAGCGGCCTCGGGTGCTGCCCGCCCGACCCTTCCTGCCGAGCGGCCACCGCGACCGCCGCCAAGCCGGCCCCTCACCCGGTCCCCGCTGGGAGCCGTGGAGCATCCAGGCTGGGAAGTCCAGAGACCCGGGGAGGCAGGGGCGCCGGCAACTGACAGTTGGGACGAGAATCTCCCTCCTCCGCCCCTCCTTCCTCTCGCTCAGGCCGAAACGTTCAGAGGACTCCCTTGCTCGCCCTCTCCACGAGCCTCCCCAAGTGCAGTGACATGTGCCGCGCGCGCGCGCGTGGGTGTGTGTAATGTTTGCATTAGAAATAACCTCCAGAGAAGAGCGTTTAGAACACTTAAAACAATTTGCAAATGTACCGTTTCCTCCCCCCCCAACCTTCTTTCCAGCCGCCTGTCAGCTGACTCTCCACCTCGCCTCCATAAAGAATGAATGAAATTTAAATGAACTACCTGCAGCTACCAAACGAGCCGGCATTTTCCCTGTCTCTGCCATATGCTCTGCACTTCCAAGCCCAAGCCCAGCGCGATGCATCCAGCGAGGACGCGGAGCCTCCCTCCCCGACGCGCGCGGCATCTCGCGGGGACCCAGCGGCTGCCCCGGGGCAGGTGGGCGCCGCGCGCCCCGGGCTGGAAGGCGCCGCTTCCCGGCCCTCGGGGAAGCGCATTCCCTTGCAACTTGCAAAGTGAGCCCGAGGGCGCGCTTCCGGGGTCCCGGCACGCGCCCCTCCCGGAGCCTTCCCCGCATCCGTCTCCGCCGCTGGGGCAGCGGTCCCGGGTCCGCGCAGCCTCTGACAGCCCCGCGGAAGGTCGGGGAAGGAATTCCCACCTGCTCGCCCGGCGCCCCGCGCGCCCCGCCCGCGGCCGCGCGCGCCCCGGCGTCCCGGCGCCCCGTTACCTGTGCCGGGGTCTCCGGGCCATGGCGTGGCGGGCGCGGGTCTCCGCCGGGAGCCGCGGGGACCGCACCGGGCTGCCGCCTCCCGCTGCCCGCGCCTCCCTGCGTCCCTGCGCGGCTCCGCGGCGACGCTCGGCACCGCCGGCGCGAAGTTTCTCAGGAGCCGGAGGAGGCGGAGGAGGAGGAGGCCGCGGAGGAGGAGGAGAGGAGGAGGAGGAAACAGGTTGATATTAAAGAGTAAACTCTGTAAACAGAGATGCCATCAAACAAAGGGCTTTGGACACTCCCCCTCCCGCCAAATCTGGCGCCCCTGCAGTGCGCACGCGCCCTGGCCGCCGCCTCCGCGGTCGCCTTGGCTGCCGCCCGCGGGGCGCTGGGGCCGGCGGGGCCGCCGCGCTGCGCCTGGCGCGCGGCGAGGGCGGGCGCGGGGCCGGGCGGGCGCGGGGCCGGGCACGGGAGGGGCGCCCGGGGCCCGCGGCGGCGCCTTTTCCTGCGCAAACCCCGCTCCGGGGCCGTGCGCGCCCGCGCCGAGTCCCGCTGCTGGGGCCGCCGGCCAGCACCCCCCCGCCCCCGGGGCGCCCGCCGGCCAGCAACCCCCACCATCCCGGGGCGCCCCGGGGCGCCCGCCGGCCAGCCCCCCCGCCCCGGGGCGCCCGCCAACCCGCGAGCCCCGGCGCTGGACCCCGCTCGCCCCGCACCCCCTCGCCGCCACGGGGCGGCCGGGGCCGCGCAGTGGGGTTTTAGGAAGGTTGAAAGTTCAGCAATCAGGGAGGTGGGGAGCATGTGTCCTCGCAAGTTGTTGGGCCAGGCTGTTTCTCGCTTTTTGCTTTTTTTATTTTATTTTTATTTTTTTAAATAAGGGACATCTCTGATTGCACTTGTTGGTGGCAAAAGACGCTTTCATGCGAGGGGGGCTTCAGCGGTCGCCGCCACGGAGGGGCACCCTGGCGGAGCTGTCGCCTCCTCCCGGATCCTGGAGCCGACACGCCTCTGTCGCAGCCACCGGCTCTGCGCCCACGCCCGGCGCGCGCCCGCCCCACCCTCTCGCCCACTCGCCGCGCGGGCGCCCCCCGCGCCCCTGCTCCTGCGCCGCCCGTGCAGTGCGCCCGGGATCACACACCTGTGACGACCGCGGCTTCCCGGCTACCCGCCCCCGCTGGACCTGGACGCCCCAGGCTGGCTTGCGAGCTTTTAAAAGTTTAACAGTTTGGGATACGAGGGTCGGTCTCCAAGCTCCGTGCAGTTGGAGAGCTCTGTTTGGCTGGATAAAAATCATCGAAGCCGTTTGTTTTATTTAACGAGGGACTCCCGAGGAAGTAAAGGGTGATGACAAGTGTTGAATTTATAAGGATTGATGATTGGGGGATTTTAGGGGAGTTTTAGTTTTACTTCCGTTTATAGATTTGTACCATTGGGGATTTTTTTTTTTTCATTCTCTGTACGCGCTAATTTATTTTTCCTTTAATCTTATAGGAGTTTGAGACTTGTGCTCACTGGGTTTGTGGGTGTCCCATGTGCCCCTGCAGTTCAAACTTAGCTCAGAAAGCATTTTTCTTACTAAAAAAAAAAAAACACACACACACACACAAAAAAACATTTTCTTACCGAAATGAGTCATAATTTTATTAAATGGTGAAGCATGTTAGGTTTCAAGTCTTTATCTGGTGCCTTAAACTTTGGTTCTTAAAATTGTAATATAGTTTAAGTCCTTATCAAAAAAAAAAAACGTTAGTTGCTAGTAAGGTTTTAACATTCCTGAATTCGTGAGAAAAAAAGCCTCTGAAACAAAGTTATGGTGATATAGTTCTGAAAGACAAGTCATTTGCAAGTTAAAATGTTTTTAATGCCAATATTTACTTCTGGGTCCTATAATAAGGTTTCTCCACATCAAAAAAACATTAAAACATCTTAAAAAACATCTAAAGGAATTGCATTCTTTGTTTGGGATTACTTTATGAATTTAACTTGAATGATTCCTACCTGTTGAGACTTTGGCACAATGAGAATGTTTAAATCCTTCCAGACGTAAGTTCATAATCTCTCTCCCAAGATTCAGAGTTGAAGCTGTGCTGATTCTTAAACTCCTTTTAACTAGAAAGAGACTAAATTCAATTTTATTTCCTTTATTCTTTTTGTGCATCATTTTCTACATGTATATTGTTTTGAGAATTTAAGTTTTTTCCTTCCTCAGACATTTTGGGGTGTAAATTTACATTTTTTTCATATGTGTGACAAACATATTTTTAGGAATAAGTGTAGTCCAATAAAAACTATTGATATATGTGTAATAATTCTTACTGACTAATTTAGGACATGTTGCTACCTGATTAGTAAATGAAAGAACAGAATGAGATGAAGTTATCGTAAAGTCTTGTGGAGATGAAAATGCATTTTCAGATACATTGCAGGATGTTTATTGTAACTATTGATGCACTCTTCTCTCCACATATTACAGATACATTTTTAGATGACAACTTTATGGATTTCATCAGTCTTAGTGTTTTTGTTGTTTTTTTTTTTAAGATCTACTACGTTAGTTGTATTAGCTGTGAGCTGAGGCAGAGCTGAGGCTGACCTGAGGCAGAGCTGAGGTAGAGCTGAGGCTGACCTGAGGCAGAGCTGAGGCAGAGCTGGGCTAAATTCAAATACAACCTCTTATTTACAATGCACTAGACAGGGATAAGGAAGCTTTTCTGTAAAGGGCCAGAGAGTAAATGCTTTGGACTTTGTGCACTGTGTTGCACATTCTCCTTTCTTTTTCTTTATTTCCTTTTTTTACAACCCTTGGGAAAAAACAACTTTTAGTTTGAAGGTTTGCAGGCCATAGTTGACCAACAGTAGAGCAGTGAGCCTCAATTTTTAGTGTGGATCAAAATCTCTGGGTGTACCCATGAAAAACTCAAGTGGCAGCCCAGGAAGAGACTGTGATTCAGTAAGTCTGAGGCAAGGCCCAAGAATCTGCCTTTTAACAAGTACCCAAGTAGTTTTTGTGGAGGTCATCTCCATCAGTCATTGACCATGTGAGAGTAAGAGCAAGCCCTTACCTTTGCCACTTTTCTCTCACCACCTTCCCCTCACTCTCTTTCATCTTCTGTTTGCCAAGCTCTCAACCCAATATAATTTAAGTCCATGGGAAAGTTGGTGCCAGTGATCACCAATGGACTGTAGCAGCCCATTCTTTCATGCTTTATGGCTGAACTTCAGCCTCCTATCTGAAATGTGAAAGAAAAGAGATCACTTGTTAACCTGCTGATCATCAATATGATTGTCCTCAAGAAAGTAATTATCTAAGCCTTTTAATTTTGCTCTAAACATTGGGGAAAGGTTAGAAGAAGAAAGATATAGAAAAGATACAAATTGCAACTCTTATGCTTGTGACTGCAGAGAAATCCTGGGTATGCGGTTAGTCTTTGATACCTGTGATTGTATCCCAAGGATGAATGAGGATTGTGAAAGGTGGTGACAGGCCAGGTTTCAGGGGCTCCATCTCCCTAACTGCCCACCTTTCCCCTACTCCTCAACTCAACTTGGTTCAGAGCACTAAGAGGGAAATAATTATAGTAAAAATCAAATAGGTAAAGGCAGATAATTCTTAATTGTTTTTTATGAGTAACAGCTGTAGCATGTATAACTGGAACCCATAGGTTTGAGATAAACTTCATGCTGGCTCACAACAAACCTTTTAGTAATAACAACAGGGGAAATGTTATTTTAGTACAGTATGTTTCTTGAAGTCCCCCATTTGAAAGAGTGACCACATAAATGATATCTTTAAATGACTCCTGATAATTTGGCACTTACTGTTTGATTCTGCTCTCCATCCACATTCTCAGAAACTTAGATATTCCTATGATAGCCAGCTCACATATGTTCATCACTATTTTAGGTGAGTCTTGAGTAAAAGGTATGAGTTTTTCCATGATAAGGGAAGGGTATTCCAGAGGAAGGGTAAAGTGTAAGCAAAAACACACAATCAGGAACCACAAGGCATGATCCAAGCACAAGGAAGAAGGAACAGTCCAGATTGCCTGGAGCAAGGGGGGAACTTTGAAGGCCAGATTAGTGTGTGTGTGTGTGCTCGCACACGTGTGTGTAGTGAAAGAGCTACATTGTCAGAGCTGTGCATTTGGAAAATTAATCAAACAGTATTATCACATAGATTAGAGTGAAAAGAGAGTAGAAGCAAAGAGATCAGTTAATTGGTCTGGACTAGAACAGTAATATTAATTGGAATGAAAGAGGGGACATATTAGAAAAATGTTGCACAAGCAGAACCTTCAAGATTTAGTAGCTGATTGGATGGACATTGGAGATGCCTTTAATAGAAATAGGGAAGTAAACAGGGGAAGAGAAGTGTGCACTAAGGAGATTCAAAGAGGAAAATGAGTTTAGATTTCGGTATGTTAAGTTTGTGGTTTCTTATGGAAGAGATCCGGGTAGAGTGGTTCAGCAGGTGGTGGAGAGGGTGGGATCAGAGCCTGCTAGATGGTTGGCACACAGTAGTGTGGCAGAGCTGAACGTTGTGAACCAGTTGTTAGACACAGTTATTATTAAAAAATTAAGTTCTATAAACCTACAATTAATTACATTATTTTTAAAAGGTAGTCAATATTCAAAATTCATCATTTCCTAATTATTTTATATATATATATACACTCTTGATTATCTTTATTATATCTGCAAAATGGAAATAGTCTATAAAGTGTGCCAATGTGTCTATCTGTGTAATGTATTGAGTGAAGTTGTGCTGGTAGCTTGCAATTGGCTGTGGTTGGAGTATTTACATCACAGAAAACACAGGCTATAAGGAAACCCCCTCCTTGCACTAGAAAACTGGTTACTAAATGTTTACTAGAGTTATCTGCACGAAGACAATAATTACACTATATCATGGATTTGCTAATGCGCATTTGTATAGAGAGATAACCAAGAGAAAGACTTTGGGGACTGTTTAAGAAGTTTGAAAGATGAGGTTGAGTTTAGGGGCTAAATAAAGAGACCAGTTGGGGAGTAAAGAAAGTTTCATACACATGTATATTTATAAAATTTATAATATGCACACACACAAGATACATATGTATATATATATACACACACAAATGTTTTATCATCTTTTGACAGACAGAATTCTGTATTTTGTCATCTGATTTTGAAAACTTTTCATTTCCTTTGAGTAAAGTATTAACGGGGTGGTGACTTTCAAGTATTTTTTAGTGTGATTCTGAATAAGAGACCCATT